TCTCCCTATGTAGCCATGGTTGGCTTTGAACTCATGTCCCTGCAGCTGTAGCCTCTTGAGTGCTGGGATCACAGGCTTCTAATCATCATTTAATTCAGCTTAGTTAAAAAAAAAATCCCCCCAACCTTCTCTCCATTTTTGCATTTAGTTCACAATTCTTACTAGTATTAAAGTAAGAGTTACCTGTTTAGTGCAAGACTTTTCACTTCAAAACTACTTTTTACATCTTCAATTTCATTTTCCAGGTCTTCAATTTTACTATTAAAGAAACATGAACCAAAGAATTTCAGCAATGTCAGTCAAAGTTGTTCCTGAAATGTGTATGAAGTAAATCTTGGAAAAAAGGTTGAAACCTCTATTTGAACAGAAAAAAACTAAGGCTCACCACACAAGAGCCTATCTACGCAGCTGGTGAGCTGATGGATGGGTTTCTTCACTAAGCTACAGCTAGACAGTGCGGGGAAATGCCAGACATCTGGGAAGCAACCACCCCCTAGCACCAAATACTCCACTGCAAATCAACAGCCTCCCAGTATAGGCACCAGGTATGTATCTGGAATCATAAAGGAAAAAGAAAGACAGCATTGCAACATGGATCATAGGATCAAATCTTAGTAAAAGCCACAGATGAAATATTAAAATATGACATACACTTCAATTTGTTTTTCTTGCATGATCTGTTCTGGAGTTTTTTCTTCACCTACAAGTAAAAAGATTTTTAAGTCAGTAACAGTTTTATTTAAATAAATATTTAGTGTGTGCGCATATCAGGGAACACATGTGACAGTTACAGAACAACTTGTCAGTCAGCTCTCCCCTCACCATGTGGGTTCTAGGCATGGGACTCGGGTGTCAAGCATATTGGCAAGCACCTTAGCAGGCTGAGTCATCTTGCAACAACCCCCCCCCATTTCATAATTATCTTGCATGTTTCTTTGTTAACCTGTTTTGCAACACAGAATGAACATAAACAACTTGTTTTGCTCTTGAGACAGGGTCTCACGGCGTAACTCAGGCTATCCTGGAACTCAATATGGAAATCAGGATGGCCTCAAACTTAAGATCCCACTCTCTCTACCTCTTTTTTTTTTTTTTTTTTTTTTTTGGTTTTTTGAGACAGGGTTTCTCTGTGGCTTTGGAGGCTGTCCTGGAACTCACTCTGTAGACCAGCCTGTCCTGGAACTCACAGAGATCCGCCTGCCTCTGCCTCCCAAGTGCTGGGATTAAAGGCGTGCACCACCAACGCCCGGCTCTCTCTACCTCTTAAGTGCTGGAATTAAAGGCATGAATCACCGTGCCTGAGAAAGACAACTTATTGGAAAGCTGACTTTCTTGTCAGAAATACCATTCATCTGGGGGTTGGAGATGGCTCAGTGTTTAAAAGCCCTGGCTGAGCTTGTAGAGGATCTGGGTTCAATTCCCACCACCCAGATGGTGGCTCACAACCTCTGCAGCTCTGGTTCCAGGGGATCTACTGCCCTCTTTGGCTTTTTGGGTACAGACATACAGCAGGCAAAGCACATGCACATAAAATAAATAATTATTAAGACAAATAGCATTCATTCATTCATCAGCCAACTCACAAAACTTACTTGAAAATGAAAATACTTACTTGCATCAATCATGGACTTGTATTCTAAGAGTTGTTGTTTTGTCTGTGCTCTCAACCTGCAAATTAAAAATGAGGACAGACAGGAAAGGATTTATGGTTGGTGGTTACAATCATTATGCAATAAATGAAATCTGACATTGATTGAAGTCTTCTTTTTACTTAAAACAGTTCACAAAGCCAGGTGTGGTGGCGCACGCCTTTAGTCCCAGCACTCAGGAGGTAGAGGCAGCCTGGTCTACAGAGCAAGTTCTAGAACAACCTCCAAAGTCACAGAGGAACTCTGTCTCGAAAAACCAAAAAAAAAGTTCACAAAAGGGAGTCCTAAAATGGAATACAGTGGGAAAACAGCATCTTGGAGAAAAAGTTAAAAATTTAATTCTTACACTTATATGAAAACTAAACTTATGACACCTCCAAACTCTATTAGTGTTACATATAGAATGTAATATTTTAAGGAGGGGCTGAAAGATGGCTTAGTCATTAAGTGGGTGCTGCTCTGGTTAAAAGGAGTTTGGTTCCCAGCACTGACACCAGCTCCTAGAAATTACATGTAACTCCAGCCCCAGGAGGAGTTTGCTGCCTCTGACCTCCAAGGGCATGCACATCTGCATATGCACACACCCCTAACAAAAAATAAAATAAAAGAACTTTTCTTCGTGACCGGTTTCTCCGTGTAGCCCTGGCTGTTCTGGAACTCAATCTATAGACCAGGCTGGCCTCAATCTATAGATCCGCCTGCCTCTGCCTCCCAAATGCTAGGATTAAAGGCACTTGACACTACCACCTGCTTCCAAAATACATCTAAAAAAAAATGGTCAGGTGGTGGTGGTGCATACCTTTAATCCCAGCACTTAGGAAGCAGAGGCAGGCGGATCTCTGTGAGTTTGAGGCCAGCATGGTCTAGAGAGTGAGTGCCAGGATAGGCTCTAAAACTAGACAGAGAAAGCGTCTCAAAAAAACAAACAACAAACAAAAACAACAAAAAAAGAAAAATAAAATAAATGAAAATCATAAAATCTTAAAAAGCATTTTCAGTAAATACAAAAAATAACTTTTGGAGAGTTAATCAATTAATATTTAGTAGGTTTGTCAAAAATTCTATTATTCCTAATTCAAAATCGAGCATAAAATAAATACACAAAAGCTGAGAATGGTAGCAAATGCTTGTAGAGCCAGTTGCAAAGTCCTGAGTACTGGTCTTTAGAAACCGGTATCCACAGCTAAGAAACATCTGACAGATTATGGAAGCTCATACTACAGCAAGTGACAAAATTCCAAATGAAAACAACAATTTCACACCAGGTACCAGGCTAGTCATCCCAGGGACCTGCAGGGCCCAGGGAGGAGGACAGAGTCAGCACAGGCCTGCCAGGGCTTCAGAGCAAGTTCAAAACCAGTCTTGGCAACTTATCAAATTCAATCTCAAAATAAAAAGTAAAAAGTGAGTTGATGTAGCTCAGTCTTAAGAGTGCTTGCCCAGTGCGTATGTTTCAAGCCCTAGGTTCAGTTATGACTACTGCCAAAAACAACCCACATCTGACAAGTTATTACAGGCTAATGTATAAGTGTTCAGCATAGGACACTCAAATTTTCCTCAGCTATGTTTATGTCATGTTTATAGGCAGGCAGACAGACGTGTTGCTGGATATTTGATCACCGTGAACCCTGAGATCAAGTTGTGATGTGGTTCAGCCCGAGCACACATCTTTGATCCAAGAGCTTCTGCTTGAATATTGTAAACAGGATTAAATAAAGTCAACCATAGGTCAAGAGGCGGCGCAAGCAACCAGTTGACGGGAAGCGAACATAGGAAAAATGATAGAGTAAGAGGGAGACAGGAAGAAGGATAGAGAGACTCGGAGGAAGGGAAGGGAGGGGCATTCCAACAGCCTAGGAGATAGTGGAGACCTCTGCTAAGGAGGAAGGCCAGCTGGGTGCTTTCTCTGCTTCTCCTGAGCTAGTAGGCTTTCACCCAAGCATCCGGCTCCCAAGTCTTTATTGGTAAAATTGAACAATTGAGATTTTGTTAAAAACAACAAATAAGCTTTGTATGGCTGGGCATGGTGGCTAACGCATGTAATTCTAGCACCCTGAAGGCAGAGGCAGGAGCATGACTATAAATTCAAGGGTAGCCTAGTACTACACAGCAAGACCCTGTTTCAAAAATTCAAACAAGTCTCTGCTATGACTTCAAACACTTTTTTTTTTCTGTAAAGAACTAGATAGCAACCAATTTAGGACTTGGGAGTCATACCAAGTTTTAACTACTTATCTGTGACCCTGTAGCAGAAAGCTGTATTCCAATAAAACTTTATGAGCATTAACATTTGGATTTCATGTGTTATGCAATATTTTTGGCACCCATCCGTATTTAAACTTGGAAGAACCTAGCTGGAGCCCAGTGGTACAGCAGTTGCTCCGCACACACCAGGCGTTGGGTCCCATCTCCAGTACCGAAAGATAACTTTTCTTAGAAGAGCAGTAGAGCGGATTTGGTCCAGGCCTTGGACTGAATCAGCTCCCTGACATCAAATTTCCCCTAGGAACTGCTGATTGCAGAGCCCAGCAAACATCATCCTAGTAAAATGATAAGCAGATGAAGCTTCTGGACGTAAAGGGTCTTAGACATAAAAGGTGGGTTGGGCCGGGTGGTGGTGGCACACGCCTTAATGACAGCACTCACAAGGCAGAGGCGGGGGAATCTGTGTTCGAGGTCAGCCTATTCTAGAGTGAGATCCAGGACAGCCAGGGCTACACAGAGAAACCCTGTCTCGAAAAACCAAAAGAAAAAAACAAGGGGGGTGGTGGTGGTTGGACTTCCCCGTTTTCTGTAGCTTGGCTCGGATGCACTGCTCAACTAGCCGGGATCACAGTAGCAAGATAGGACGGAGGGTAGGTTCGAAGCCTAGCTAAGGACCGGGTACTGTGCTAAACATTTCCTCAGAATGTACCACCTAGCCTCCCATCCCCAGCAGCTTTGCGCGCAGGGTATCCTTTGCTGGCCCCTTCTCCACTGACGAGCTTAAAAGCGGTTAAACTAATAGTGCAGCCAGGCTCGGAGCCATGAGAGTCAGCCAGTGAGTCCGAATTTGAACCCTGGGCCTCCTGAGCAAGGGCGGGATGCCGGGCGGGAGCACCTGAGCAGCAGGCGGATGCGATCCTCGATGCTTTCCCCCGCAGCCTGCGGCTCATCCCGCACCTCTCCGCAGTCCTCAGCCCCGGCCGCAGGCTTCTCCCCCTGCTGCTCCATCGCAGACGCCATAGGTTTGGTCTCTACTGGAACATCCGAGCGTTTATTCCCGCCAAGAAATTGACACCCGGAAGTATACATTTTGTAACCGCCCCTTCCGCCCTAAAGCCCCACCTTCTGCCTCTCCCTGCATCGGGTTGCTGTGGTTACTATGCTGCGTTCCCTGGAGAAATAGATTCTATTCCCCTGAACAAAAGCGGTCGATTCGAAGCCTTTGGGTAGGGGTAAATGGAGATGTGGCTCAGTGGTAGAGCGCTTACCTAGCCCTGGAACCGACCCAGCACTGAGTCAGGGGCGGTAATCCGAGAATAATTTAACTCTAAGAGTGGCCCGGAGAAAGGGACGGGGAGCTCTGGCCTAAACAGATGTCAATAACCGTCCTGCCCGTGTACGGTTATTGTCCTTCCTGCTACTACACTTCTGGTCTGGGTTTGGAGGATGGGTACGCCCTGCAGAGTGGCATGTTTGCACCATGTGCTTTTAAGTGGCTGCAGAGGCCAGGAGGCATCAGATTCCCTCCCTAACTGGAGTTAAGTTATGAGCCACTTGATGTAGGTGCCGAATCGTCTCTCCAGCTTCCGCTCTCCCCTCTCCCTTTATTTTTTTGAGACTGGGTCTCATGCAGCTCAAAACTGGTCTTGAACTCCCAATCCTCCAGCCTGAGAATGACGTGGCCCTTGCAGTATTATATTGAAGTTTTCTCTTGCAGTGCTGGGAACAAGCCTAGGGTCATTCAGCTATTGAACTTCATCCTCAATCCCTATTAGGTCTTTGTTCATGGGCCCTAAGGTCCGCATCTCCTGTTTGGTGGAGGAATGCACGCCTCAAGTAGGAGGCAGAACTGGCATATGCCTCCAGAGTTTACCATGGCCACACCCACGATCTTTCAATTCCTTGCAGTAGTGCTCCATTTGGCTATCAGTGAGATTTCTAGCACAAAGAGGGGAGGAAGCCTGCCATCCCAGAACTCAGGGAGGTTGACACGACAAGCTCAAGGTCAGCCTGGGATACACATTAAGTACTCAGAATACAATTCTGTTTGCAGGTTTCCGGGTATAGCTGAATTGGAAATCATTGAGAATTAGGTGTCTGACAGGTTACAATGAAGCCTTGAAGTCGAGGAATGGAGAAAATGCTGGACCTATATAAATGATTTGTAAGTTTTTCACGGTCACTTAAGTATACTGCCTTGCTGAACAAGTACAGCAGCTCTTTGAAGGGCTGCATGATCCATCATGGCCACTCCCCAAGTTGATCATACCATGCTTGTCCTGTTACCAAAGTACTATGACTCCTGTGTGATTGAGGCCAGGCTAGTCTACAAAAAGTGAATTCCAACCAGGGCTACTGAGAAACCGGGGGTGGAGGTGTCCTAGAATAAAGTAAAACGACAGGACACAAAGTTGGAGGGAAGGGAGTGGATCTGGAAGATTTTGGGGGATGGGGATCAAAACACCTTATTCCAAATTCACAAAAATTCGGGATGGTTAAGTGTTAAAAGCATGTTTGAGGTCTGAGTTAGATCCCCATCACCACCTCCATACCAATTGCATAGCAGGCATAATGAAAAATACTGCAATTCCAGCATTTAGGAGGTGGGGAAGGATGAGTCGCAGACTAGCTGGAGACAACTTACCAGTTATGAGTACTGCATTCCTATCTCCATGCTCTCAGAAAACCACAACCTATCGAAATTCAGAACAAGTGACTCATCCATCAACCACTGAACTGAAGACTCAAGGAACACTGAAGAGGAGGGGGAATATTGCCAAGAGCCAGATGAACAGGAAGACTGTCTCTTTGAAATGTTTGGGAAGGCTCAGCAACATGGCTGCCTAAACAAGTCTTCAACAAGGATGCCAACAGATACACAAAATGGAAAAGTCACGACACACACACACACACACACACACACAGACGGGGATGGACCTAGACAATTACAGGCAACTAAGGAATGCTGGAAACAGCAAAAAATGTCTTTCCTAACAACTTACCTAATTTATCTCTAATACTGAAGGGGTCAGTACTGAAATTTTATATACCTACAAGTAACAATACACAGACAAGATTATAAACATACATATACCACAATGTAGCCGGAGGCCATGAATTTGGGAATGTAAGGGTAGGGTTACATGGGAGAGGTTGAAGAAAGGCAAACTATGTAATTATATTCCAATTTTAAGAAAGGTAGTAAAAGCCGGGAGGTGGTTGCACACGCCTTTAATCCCACTCGGGAGGCAGAGGCAGGTGGATCTCTATGAGTTTGAGACCAGCCTGGTCTACCGAGCGAGTTCCAGGACAGGCTCCAAAACAATACTGAGAAGCCCTGTCTCGAACCCCCCCCCCCAAAAAAAAGGTAGTAAATATCTTTTCACAATTGAGAAATCCAGCAATAAGCTTAAGGGACTTCAGGATTGTGCAGTGAAGGGTCAACAAGAAGCTTCTAAGTAGGAAGATAAATGGCCGTCCACTTCAAGCTAGTATAATATACAGGTAAAACGTACTGGCAACCAGGCATAATCTCAAAGTTCATGTGGCAAATGTTTGATAATGCTAAGTACTTGAAAATAGTCAAGCCGGGACTGGAGAGATGACTCAGAGGTTAAGAGCAGACTGTTCTTCCAGAGGTTCCGAGTTCAATTCCCAGCAACCACATGGTGGCTCACAACCACCTACAATTTAATCTGGTGTCCTCTTCTGGCATGTATATGTAATAAAATAAATCTTTAAAAGTCAAGCCATATATGGCCCCACAAACTCTTTAAAACTCAGTATAAAATCATCCTGTTATTACAGGGGGGAAAAAACTGTTTGGATCAGAGGCCAATGAATGTGCACTCAAGAGGTTATCAGTGACACAACCGTATGCTCATCTGGAAGACTCTTCCATCAGAAATATATACCTAAAAGAAAAATTTTGAGACAGAGTCTAGCCTTGAACTCCCAAAGGTATGCCTGTCTCTGCCTCCTTTGTATTGGCATTGTAGGTATGCACACTTCCTAGTTGGTTGACCTTAAGACTGAATGAAAATCTACAACTATAGAAAGATGTCTTGCACCAGGTGGTGGTGGCCCAGGCCTTTAATCCCAGCACTCAGGAGGCAGATCTCTGTGAGTTGGAGACCAGGCTGGACCAAGAGCCTCGAAAATAGAGAAACCCTGTCTCGTAAAACCAAAAAAAAAAAAAAAGAAAAGATGTCTTGAAACATTTTTTGTTTTCTGAGACAGGGTTTTTCTGTATTGTCTATAGACCAGGCTGGCCTCAAACTCAAGAGATCCCCCTGCCTCTGCCTTCTGAGTGCTTGGATTAAAGGCGCATGCTACCAACGCCCAGTTTAGCAACATGTTTCAAAATAGTCAAAATTAGAAATTGGGGAAGCTTTCCATTAGTAAATTTTATTCAACTTGACATCAAATGTATAAATTAAAAAAGCAAATGAGACAGGATTTTTGCCAGTTAGAGACACAAGACAGGGGAAAGATAGAGGAAATGGCACCTTGGTATAGGGCCAACAACACTCAAAGTCTCATCTGGCTTTCTCAGAATTTAAAGCATATTCGCCCCCCCTGGGGAAGCTACTACGCATGAAGCCAAGCAAGGCATAAACCAGCATTTTAGCAGTATTGTTTAGAGGCAGTGAGAGAATGCAATTTGAATGTCTTGTAAAGGATGACATTACATACAGTATGAAATGCAATATAGACATTGAAAGGAATATTGATGAAAAAAACGAATCCATATTAAAACATCTCCTTGACAACATATGCATGATTACATTTATATAGGACATTGAGATTGAGGGGCAAATTACTTTCAAAATATACGTTTAATTTTAAACATGCTATTTTCCAAGCTAATTAAGAACAAATAAATAATTACACAAGAAAACTGGGTTTCAGACCTGAAAGTCCATAGGCTCGAGAGAGTGAAAGGTAGCAACCACCTGAAGAACTAGAAAAGGAGACTAAGGACAAGCTGGAAAATTGATAGTTTAAACCAGAGCTAGGCAGAGTACTTTGCAGGATGCCTTAAAGATATGATCAGAACACATTAAAGTGATGAAGTATATAAACATATAGGCTACAATTAATTATATACAGTAGTTGGATTCCTGTTAAACTAAAAGCAGTTTTAAAAATATTCCTAAATGTTTTATTAGACAACTTTCGTTATCCTAAGGTCAGAAGCAACCAATATTCAAATGAGGTAAGCTATGAAAAGTAAAACAACCTTTATTGAAGAGCAAGTAAACACTGTATACTATGTACAGGTGGCACATGGTGCCAATCACATTTGCAGATGTAGTGTTGTGGTCCACTTGAGTTACGCCTTTGCCACAGCCTTGGACAAATTCTGAACTAGTGTACAATTCAGCTGTGCCAGAGTGCTGATCTTAGCATGCTTGGATGTTGCATACTTATTCTTGATAGTCTGTAAGAGAAAAGTATTATAATCAGGGAAAACAAAAACCATCCCCCAATGGAGTGTGTACATGAAGGGGTTGGAGGGAGAAAAGAGAAGAGACTGAACCGATATAATTTTTTTTTTTTGGTTTTCCGAGACAGGGTTTCTCTGTGGCTTTGGAGGCGGTCCTGGAACTCGCTTGGTAGTTCAGGCTGGTCTCGAACTCAAGAGATCCGCCTGCCTCTGCCTCCCGAGTACTGGGATTAAAGGCGTGCGCCACCAACGCCCGGCCCGATATAATTACATTTTAACGTGAAAGATGAAAATAAAACCAAACCTCTGCGTGCTAGGATTAAAGGTCTTAAACCAGCTGTGAAGTTTCAGTGAACTCACCATGTGCTTTGTAAGGCCATGGTTCACCATGACTACATTCTTAGCCAGGTGCTGCATGACAGGCAGAAGGGATTCTTCAGTGTAGGACAGGTAGTGCTGCAGGGTTGGTGTCTAAGACAACAACAACAACAAAAGCATGTAAATAAAACACCAGCCACTTTCAGAAAACTTTTCTAGATGCTATCCAAGGATCTAGCAGGTGGACAGTGAATGGTAAACACTACTTAAACAAATCATCTCTTTGCTCAGGTGTGCTCCAATTTAACCAGGACAGCATCTGATACAAGAGAAGTGAATGGGTCTCTTAGACTACTTAGTGTAGCTTCCATGTGTGCAAGGATTTACAGACTCCAAGAGTCTCAGAGACCAAAAGACTCAGAAAGATGAAAACCTGAACAATGGAAGCATTCTAAGATGGCACAACAATTTCACCCCCATTCATTCACTCCTATTGAGGAGGCAGAAGGGTCACAGGCTGTTTACAATAGAAAAAAAGCTTGGTTTGGAGACTGCTTACCCATTCACCATTGTCAAGGATTTTCAGTGCTAAGCAAAAAGCTCCAGCTGCAATCTGAGAAGGAGCAAAGTGCACCATGTCATAGTCCAACAAAGTGAGCTCCATGAGGTATTTGGCCAAAGTATGCTGTTCAACGTCAACCTGGAACAGATCCATATACCACTGAGCCTCTTTTGCAGTTCTACTTTGACACTAACCTACAAAGCCATATCTGTGACCATAAACTCAAATACAATGCAACACAGAAGACCTTAAAGAGTAACCATGTAATATTCAGTCTGATGAGAAACAGTAACAGCCATATCCTTCTCCCATGTAGTTAGATAGCTGTATTAAAAAAGTCAGCAACCGTATTCTCTAATATAGCAAAACAAAAATTAAGTAATGCATACCTCTCCAATCTTAGACGCTCTACGGAGGAAGTGCAGAGGCAGAGGGCGACCCAAACTAAAGTTTAGAACTCTTAGAATCTTCATTTCCATTTGTCTGATTTGGTGCTTAGTGTAAGTATTGTTAGTCACAAAAGCGAAGTCACCTATTTCTGGAGGGTACATTTCTTCATATTTGCTGGCAATAAACATGGCTGTCACACCAACTAGCTGCAGCATCTTCTTGGGCACACAATTATCCTGCAATTGAAATGTCAACAAACCATATGTACTTGGACATATTAACTGGAAAGACATTAGTTTCAGACCCAATGATTAAGATACCTGCCTACCATGTAGGGGACCCTGGGTTCTACTGCCAGTGTGCACTCCCCCCTTTCCAAGGTTCTTCTAGAATGCAGGAATGGAAAACTCTCATTACTTAAGTACACATACCTGCATGAACCGATCAATAATGGAAACAGTCATGTACATAGTCTCTTGCAGCAGCCTAAATTTCATTTGAACCTGTATCAGCCAGTCAATTAGGATGGCTCTCATGTTTCCAGTGACTTCACGGCCCAGTAGGTATTTTGGTCTAACTGACTGCTCTTCCTGCAAAAGAAAAATGCCATTTATTCTGGAAGTATCAGCCTATATGCCACTTGTGACCACCAAGACCAGTTAACTAACATAAAAGAGCCCTATGGCAAAACTTTTACTAAGAAGGCAAGGATTAAAATAGCATTGACAGGCTTTTCATATTGTTATTGTAACATTCAATTAACCAGTGGTACTGCAGGCCCACATCCTATACCTGTCATAATCTCAGATCAATATGGATTTTATTAATTTTCACTCAAGGTTAATAATACAGAACCCAACCTTTGTGATACAGAAAGAAATAATCGCTAAGTTTTAGATCAACTAGAATCTAAATCTAGTTGTTTTCCAGAGGACCTGAGCAACCACATGGTGGCTCACAGCCATCTATGAGATTTGGTGCCCTCTTCTGGGCTGCAGGCATAAATGCAGACAAAACACTGTAAACATAATAAATCTTTTAAAAAAAGGAATTAAGAACAACTATGTTCAACTACCATTCAGTTCTGCAGTTAGAACCCCCCCAATTATTTAGTATTAATAAGAATTACAAAGCAGACAGTAAGTCTGGACAGATGTCTTACTGAGGACTACTTTAGGAAATATAAATTAAGTCAAAAGAAATGGCAGCAAAATGGCTGACTGTAAGTCAATCCCACCCATGTAAAGGTGGAAGGAGAAATCAATTCTTGAAAGTTATCTGAGCCCCACATATGCACACCCACAAGTACCCTGTCACAAAGGGCAAGAGACTGAGTAAATTAATGGTAACCTAAGGAGACAACACTGGGGATACACTTCAGTGGCAAAGCAGCTGCTTAGCATGCACAAGGTCCTGTTTTTGTTCCTAGGACTGGAGGCGGCAAATCTGAAAAACTGTCTCGTTTAAAGAGGTGAAAGCACAAATGTCCTTAGGTTTCCCAAGTGGGCTAAGCTGACAAAACCCTGGCAAAGAATGAAAGCCTGGTGTTGGGACAGCTATCGGCCTTTAGCATCTCCACCACCTCCTCAAACCAATCTGGGGCTTTTCCATGTGTGACCTGTGTGTCTACTTTAGGAAGAGTCATAGCAGTATCTCCCCAACACAGAAATTTTTTGTGTTCCACTCCATGGAGTTAGTGACTTTATTTCTGCTTCAAAACAGAATTTCAAGTGTTATCTATTGTCAAGAAATGTCAAGTGTGCTACTGATAAATTATCTTTAATTGCTGAGTTGGTGGTGCACAACTTTTTAATAAACTCGGTAAAAGCAGACTGTAGCAACAATACTGACCTCCAGTTGTCTGAGATAGGCATATATGTCTTTCACATATTCGCTACAGAGGTTTGGATCAGCACCATCATCTGCATCCACATCACTCACGGCAAGAATTACATCAGAGAAAGCCTGGCACAGGTATTCTTCTGCAGGGGCACATCCAGATGTTTCCATTGGGCTTGGAGAGGGATTATCAACCTTAGA